CCAGGTAGAACTCATGGTGAGAACATTCAAAACACATATGAAAAGGAATATTAAAATTAACTTAGACATCGCACTTGACAAATTTTTATATAATTACAGAAATACGCGTAATGATACTACAGGAGTTACACCATCTCAGAGAATGTTCAATCGAGATATTAAAACTAAATGGGACTTATTAAAACCGCTGGTAGAGAAGGAGAACAAAATAAACGTTACTTTACCACGAAATAGAACCTTTAATGTAGGAGATTTTGTTTGGTACAAAGTACAAGGTGATGATAAATGGTAGGCATGATCACACACAAAGAAAGTGACATGATGTTCCAAGTTAAGACAGATAAAGGTATTTTGAGGAGACATTTAGATCAATTAAGAATTAGAAATTGTTTTAACACACTTATTAATTATGACTCTAAGGATTCTTTTAAGGAGGGGTGTGGACAAAAATATAAAAATTACTGATAAAAATGATATAACACCGATTTCTAGACCGATGCGAATTAAACAAAAACCTGCTTATTTAAAAGACTACATAACTTAAAATATAAAAATAAAATAAATATTAAAACGCATAAAGTAAATTAAATATTAAAACGCTTATACTAAAACGCAAAATATCAAAACGCTGAAAATATTATATAACAATCTTATTGATTTATCATTTTTCATTTATTCTTATATCCAATTTGATAAACTATTATTTCTCATTATTCGTAACTTACTGATGATAATAACAATTTTGAAAAATGATAATAATAACGACTGAGTATGACAAGCAAGCTATATGACAAATTCACGATTTATAAGTACAACTTACGATAAGGATATCAAGCTTACGATTTAAACAAACCAACGTACAAACACAATAAAACGATTTATACAAGCCAACAATATATGACTTATGAAATAACTTGATGGTAACGATAAACCACTTGGACAACAAACTAACTACGATAATATAATTAAACTTATGTGAAGGCTTTTTAGAAGAAAGAGAATGTTATATATTCAAATTTGTACTGTTATTTCATTTTTGCTTTTTGACTTATAATTTAAATTTATATAATTTAATTTTTACCTATTATTACTTTTGCTTTTCGTTTTTGATTATATGTATTCTAATTTATATTTTTAGATAATATATATATAGTATGAACATTTTAATAATATTAATAAATAAAATATATTTTTTTGTTTTCGTTTTTCTCTACACTTAAAATCTCTACATTATCAAATAGAGATTAATCTTTTAATGATACGATATTATGTAACGGTATTGGAGCCCGATGACTCGGCCAGAATTTCACCCTAAAAATTTAAAATTATTTTGAGTTTTGACTTGGGACTTAATTTTTTTTAAAAAATCTAAAGAAATGACATTTTCTTATTAGAAAAAGTCAATTCAAATGTTACGAACTTACTTTTAAAAAGTAAACCAAACAGCCACATCATAAAGGTCTACGACACTTTAATGATAATCATGATTGATCAATATTTTGATTTAAAAAATTTTTTTTGACAATTAAACCATACTGAGTTATGTATTGGAAAGATAAAAATTATATGACAGCTTGGCTTTAAAAAATTCATGACCAACTTACCACCCCCCCTCATATCTTTCTCCAAATAATATATGTATGCAAATAATCTCTATTAACATCCTATCCCAAAACTAGTTAAGTCCTTAACCTCACTCTCCCATATGATAGCGACAATTTTCTTACTCAAATGTTCTTGCTAATTAGTGTTGTTAAAAAGCCTAATTTGGGCCGATTTTCAAAACTCTCGATTAAGATTTTAACTAAAATACTATAATGTAAGTATTGAGATGTGGCAAATAGATGTCCAAGCGTTTCTGACAGTTGTGAGTAAAATCTTTAGGCTTACATAATGTTATTTTGGTTATAATCGGGCCGTTTTGAAAAATAAGTCGGGCTTTTTAACAACACTATTGCTAATTTGATATATGCAAATTAAGCGTGACCTTTTTCTAGTTCGTTGGCACATAACTTCGAGATTTAAATCCTGCCAATTTATATTAATAACACATGGTGATATTATCTCAGTCTGCTCTCCTTTATCTTTCTTGGCAAGGATGATACTCTAATCTTCTTTAAGCTATCATTGGCCATACAATCCATCTCGATGCTTACAAGACTCCATCGGGCCATTCGAATATCGATTATATCCAACATATTCTTTTTGAACAGCTTGTAATGACTTAGTCGCAAAACAAAACCGGCCTTAGGATTGCCATTTCATTCAATCTTATTGTAGCCTAGCGTTGAAATCGTCATGATAACTTCCGTCTTGATATATTGTGTACCCAAGTCTAAACCATTCAACTTTTATGTTGTCACCGGACTACGTTTATTGCCAGATAAATGTTTAGAAGTGTCACGGAGGCCATATTTCTCAACAACTACTCAAACATCAATGCGGTGTGTAGCCATTAACTCGATTTCCTGGCATATCACAATGTCATCTGCAACAATAACCATGAAAATGGTTTCTGCAAATCTTCGACTATGGTATCGAGGATGTGTAAGAAGAGAAATGGACTTAGCGTTGCCTCTCGATGTAGCCCGACTTCCATGGGAAATGGTCTTGACTTCCCGACCAACGTTCTGTTCTAACAATTAAAGCGGAATGCTCGTAAATACATCTAACGAGTTGCACATAACTCTATGTACTCCTTTTTTCGTATAAATTACCATTTCATACCATATTAGATCTTTAAACACCATATGCAGCTCCTACCTTCTCTTCCCATATTTTTCCAACAGTTTGTAGGACAAAAATTGGATCATTGATAGCCCTGTACAATGAAGAATTAATTTCCGAATATCTACATTTCACCCCGTAGTATCCTGACAGTGACTTTTTCAAAAATCTTAAAAATATGGCTTGTCAACTTTATCCCAATTTATATTAAAAGAAAAGATTTATAATGATGGTAGAGTATTGTAATTATATAAATATGGCGCAAGTTAATCAAATATATAAAGGAGTCACTTATCCAAGCGGCAATGGTTGAATACCGTGGCGTAGCTACGGGGGTAGTTTTTGGGTTTGGACCCCTTCCAGAGCAAAATTTTTTTTTTAGAATATATGTTCAAAAGACTTAAAAGTGACTTTATATCGAATAAATCCATTAATATTTATATTTTTCTGGTTTTGATGTTTGTGGAAGGATATTATATTACTATAAAAATTATTCTGGATAGTATTCTTATAAAGTCATTGAGAATCATCTATTAAATTATAATAACATATTATTGATGCATTTGAAAAATATATTTATTATATATTATCGAAGATATGGTTATAATTTGCTAGATAAACCCGGCCGGCCGGGCAAAAGGGCCGAAGGCCTGTTAAAGGTGTCTGAGGGGCGAAACCCCCCAGGCTTTTATATGTATAGACCTCCTCTAAGAAAAATTCCGAGCTACGCAACTGGTTGAATACCAGGTACATATTTCCAATTTAAGTTTTTCTTGATAGCAGATCCAAAAATATCACGCTATTGAAAAAAAATTAATATATATATATAAAGGTAGTTCTGGCCTAGAAAGTTTACTAGTATTTAATATTTTAATTGCAAGAAAAAATATTCTAAAAATAAAAATTAGTTGTGCCTTGTTTATTTCAAGAATTAAAAATATATATATCAATTCATTTCAAAAAATTGAATATCTATTAAAGATTTAGGCCCGACCAATGACATATAATGTCATTGGACCCAACCCGCTCCAAATTTTTTAAAAAAATATTAGGCATGAACCAACCTAACATTATTTTTAAAAAGAGGCCCAGCAAGGGGAGGAGACGAGATATGTAGATTAACCGATACCATTCCTAATATCTACCAATATAAGAATTCCCAATTTTTGTTCCAAATATCATTAATTTGTTTTTAGTATTCTATTTTATACCATTTACGCAAATAATTTTGAAAATAAAAAGAGATAAATAAATATTCCCAAAAAATTTCATGCCTCTTTCAGCATTAATTTATTCTCTTCTCTTGATTCTATTTATTACCTTCTTGATATCTTCTTAAAACTTTTTCTAATTCATTTTCTATCCTTAACCTTTCATTTGCAGTTTGTGCACATTCCCTTCGATAAATACAAAAATAGAGTATATTTTTTCTACCACGCTAAGAATTTACGTGTGGATGAGGTGTTAACATATCTGCTATTATCTCGGCCAAATATTTTTTTTAAAAAAAGATTTATGTTTCACTTTTCATTAGATTTTATACATACTTGCTTAAATAAAAAAAGAACTGCACTGATATATATAATTATGTAGCGATATCCAATCTCAAAAAAAAATGGTAAGGATGGGGAAAATATATTTCGGGACACGGGTCGGGCATATATTATACAGATGCGCTCAGGTCTACATGATCGGGGGAGGGACCATTCGCCTACATATATCTTTCAGGAAATCAGCTCATATGGAGATGGGTCATGAATAAAAATAAGATAATTCAATATAATAATTGGTCTTGTTTAAAATGATTAACTTTTGTAATATTAACCTTTAATAATTGGTCTTGTTTAACATTATTAAACTTTTGTAATATTAGTGATAACCAACACCCAGATGGGTCATAAATGGAACTATACCTCTTCAATATAATGAATGGTCTTGCTAAATATTATTAAATTTTTTTGAAATATTATTGATAACCAAAGACCCTTTTTCACGAAAGTGAAAAAATGGAAGGCATTACGCGTAGATTTAACCCCCCGCCCCCTCTCTCCCCAAATATATAAAATAAACAGTTTAATTTATTAAAATATTAGTATAACTTGGGACTTGGCAGGCCGAATTTTAAATATTATTTCCGAAGAGCCGGATTCCAAACTATAGACTCTTTTCTGTGTGTTTAAAATACAAAGAAATTTAATCCCCCGTGGAATAAATTGAGCGAATGAAACAAAAGTGCTTTATAACCAGCGCATTTATTTTTTTTTATAATATATATTAGTGGATAAATATAATATTAGTATTTAATTATTTTTTTTTTACATTTATTAATTTTATTTAAAACGTTTTTTTTAACATAATTCTACTCCATTCGAGTTCACGGATAGAGTTTACAAATTTCAAAAACATCGAATATAATTATTTTATATTTAATAAATATAATATTGCTTATTCTTTTGTTAGAAAACAAAAAGTATATTTTTTTAGGTGGTTATTTTCCCCGCTTTTCCAGGCCCTTTATTGACGGCTGCCACTATATCCGATTCATTTTTGTTCGACGTATTGGTTTTATTCGCGCTGCTGCCAGATATTTGATTTTCCTTGTCTAGTTGACGCCCCAAATACTCCCTTTTACATGTGGATTTTAAGTGTAAAATCAAAAAATAAGTATATAAAAATTAAAATCGTTCTTTTTTTAAAAAAAGATAATAAAAGGTTACATAAACAACTTTATAAGTGTAAATAAACGAATCACAAAAATTGATGAAAACACGATTAAGAAAAGTAACGAGTATCGTCCGATACTTTATTTGTATCGGCCAATATTATATTCATATCGGTCGATATTGTATTTGTATCGGCGCATCTTTATCTTATAGACCATTCAACATAATATCACCTAAATAAAAGTGATAAATGATAGGACTTATATATTGATAATTTAAAAATTAGGAATTCTTCCCTATAAATTTGTTATTTCAAACTAGAAACTACTAAAAAAAACCATTAACATAATAGTAAGTGACAACAAAAAAATTGATAATATGTTAACATTTAAAAACTATCTATTTTATTTTTTTATAAAAAAAATTATTTTTTAGACATTACAGCAATTGGCCAGCCAATTCTGTCGAAGAAAAACGAAATCAAATACCAACCCCCCCCCTCTTCTTAGTTTTTAAACTAAATTTAATTTTGTAATCAATTTTATTATTTATTTTATATTTTCAAAAAGAGAATCTAAAAACTATTTGGACTGTGAATATTCCAAGATGGTGATGCACTAAAAAAAACATCTTTCAATCTTGTGCCAATTTTGAAAAATATATATTCATAATCAGACAATTTTAATATCGACAAAAAAATTGGCGCATAATCTTATTAAATATTTTATGAATAATTTGAGATTTCACAAAAAATAATGGAATGCCCGATTTGGGTAGATTTTTAAAAAGGGCCCGATTAAGATTTTAGTCAAAATAATAATACTAGGTAAGCCTCGAGATTTAGCAAAGAGATATCCAAACCTTTTTGGCCATCTATGGAGCAAATTCTAACAGGTTTACATAATATTATTTTAGATAAAAGGCTTTTTAACAACACTAATTGTGACCAAAAGAAGAAATAAAAAAACCATTATTCGACTAATAAAAAAAACCATTATTGGTAGAATGATTGTGTTATTAGTATTTATAAAATATGAATCAAATTTCGAATATTTTTTAATAGTCCAAACTGATTTGCGCGGATGGATAATGTTAAATATATAAGCTTTTTTTATTAACCTCTTTTATAAAAAAAAAAATTTGAGTTCGAACCTAGTGTTGTTAAACAGCCCGATTTGGCCAATCTCCACGCGAGCCTCAAAATTTCGTCAATAAAGATGTCCAAAACATTTTTTTTCCTCCTATCACGTATGAGCGAAATCTCATGGATCGCGTAATAATTTTTTGGCTAAAATATTTGGGTAAACCGTTTTTAAATAAATCGAGACGCCGTTTAACAACACCAGTTTGAATTCGAACTCACCTCCAGGATTTAATTGAATAATGAAATCAATTTAAATTTTCCCGTCTTTATTTTAACGGCAAAAATTATTCAAAACTAATTTATTAAGGTCCACCCCTTTGTACAATGGTTTTTTTAACATATCACATTTGGAGGGTTGGTATAACGGCTTAGTTTTATCGTTCCACCTAAAAAAATAATAATAAAATATTCAAAATGTAACTTCCTTTTTAGTCACATATCATAAAAGTATTATATTTTTTTACAATGCCCTTTATCCTACTTATTTCGTAAGTGCACTGGTTTCGTTTTTATATCGCCTCATTTAAAACGCGTTTTGTTCAAGCGGTGAATTGTTTATATAAACGCGTTATTTATAAAATCAAGCCAATAAATCGGTATAATTTTTAAATATGGAACTTAAGAGATGATAACGCTATGATAGAATTTAAAAAACATGTGTTACTGCGCATATTTCAAAAAATAATATCACTATGAAGGATAAGCTGTGATTTCGGTAGCGTTAAATACCGCGCCACTTGAACAAAATGTGTTAACGATAAATGAGGCCTTAGACATTTTAAAATATAATGAGGACATGATATAAACCCGGGCATATCCATTAGGATGCATATAATTCCTTACTGACTGAACCAGTGTGGTTATACCAAAAAAACAAAATTTTATCGAAAAATGTTCGATTTACTAATATTAATTATTTTTTAAAATCTTACCAATTGTGCACCATTATCTTTTGCAAGGCTACTAAGGCTTCGTATCGAACGGAAGGATCTCGATTGGTGAGCAAGGACATGATCAGCTGTTTGGCTCCTAGTCTTTCCACAATCCTGGAGGAAAGATTAATTTTAATTCAAATATGAAAATACATTCCCACACCCACAATATTTAAAAAAAAATTTTTTTAGATGGATTCATTAAATTTCAACAAATAAGTAATATTTTAAGTTTTATTTGTAACTTAAATATGAATATCTTGGATACAAAAATGCTTCGCTGAAAAAGTTTAGCTATTCCTTATACACAATAAGCCACGAGGAAAGAAATTCCGTAGCTCTTAAAAAAAATTGATATTATCACTTCCCCATATAGCGGGCTACAAAAGAATTGGCGACCCAACAATTAGGGTAGAAATAGTGATATGCATAAAACTATCCCAAGTAAAAAGCTTAAAGATAAATTCCAAATTACATCAAGCTCTATTATTTTTTTTCCTCCAGAGGAACTAATCTCAAAATTATTTCGAATTGTTTTGAAACTTTTTTTTTTAAAAAATTGTTCTAAATCACTAGAAAACACGTGATATTTTTGACGACTAAAATAAAATATTCTTAAAGATATCATTTATATAAATAAAATTAAAAACCAAAAAGAAACATCAATACAATCAACAAATAGAGCGATGATTATATATAATAAATGGCTAGAGCTTAGCATATTTTAATTCTTGGTAGAAAGTAGCAATTCTACTTTTTTTTTAGGTGAGAAAGTGAAGATGGGGGGGGGGGGGGAGGGGGTTAGTTGCGTCGAACCAAAAAACCATCGAGAACTTTCCTAATCTTCAGCATCCGTCCTAAATTTTTTAAGAAAAATGCTTTAAAAAAACCTTTTCCCAGGTGGATAATGACCTACGTATTCCCCCAAATCGTGACACGCGACAGCTAGAATGGTATTCCTGTCTCTAAGGATTCCATTGTTCGAAAATGTTTTCTCCACATTTTTATCGGCTGAATCTGTTTTTTTAATATTTTTTTAATGGAATTATTAATATTTATTCGTTAAACAAGTTTTAAAACAATCGTCAATCTTTTCCCTACAAATAATAAACCATCCAGCTAGAATTTTAAATAAAATAATTACTGTAAAACCTGGGCAAGAGAAAGTTCACTTTAAATTAAATGTAAGGGAAGGGAAAAAAAAATTCAATTTCACGAATTTCATTCTTTCTTTCTTTCTTTCTTTCTTCCTTCCTTATTAGTTAAAGTGAGAGAAGTAAGAAATTTAAAGAACCAGAGCCGCTAAACCGGTTATTTTTATACCGGCGGGTAGGCAAATAATCAGATTTTATAATAAGCCGAGTGGGGCAATTCGTACAAAAAAATTAACGAGTCGGGTCGAACATTTTGCTAAATTTTAGTCGGTAGGACCGGGTATTAAATTTGATAATTTTATAAATTCATAAAATTACAATTGAAAACAAGAGTGTTCAAATAGTAATTATCTTCCCATTTTTTTTATAGAGTGTTGTTAGGTCGATGACGTAACCAGCTCTCATCAGTTATCGGTAGTGTTGTTAAAAAAAGCTTAAATTTCGCCATTTTTTTTTGTTTTACAAAACGGTAAAATCAAAATGTTATATAAAACAAACATTACCTAAAGCTCCTCGAGGATTTCGCCAAAGGACGGCACAACAGTGTAGTTTTTTCTTCAAAATCTCGATGATTACTTAAAATTTATTTGGCTACAATTTCGATTTCGCCGTTTTATAAAAACATCCACTAGGGTTGCCTAAAAGCTAACCTTTTTTAATTTCCGGTTCTAACATTAAAAATAAAAACTTACATTTCCACCATTTAATCTGGTTTAAATCGGATGATATATTTTATATAAATCATTTTTAAATTAAAATATTATCATCATTTTAATGAAATTCTTCTAGATATAATGTAAATGTAAGGTTGAACGGATCAAAATCTGCAAGGCGCACTCGAACCCGGCTTTTAACTCGTTTACAACAAATTTAAACATAGCAAAAAAGGGCAGATTTACAATTCAACGTAAATGTTGCATTTATTACGTCTATATAAAATAATATATCTCGAACTTAAATTTCCTAATTTCATCGTAAACAAACATAATTCAAAATTTATACCAATAAATAAATTATATATTTGGAATAAGGATTCAAGCAAATTTTGTATTAACCCGTTTTTGTACGGTTTTCCAGATGTCGAGAAAACTTGATTTTCAAAAATATTAACTTAATTTTTTTTTCCCATCTCTATATCAGCTGTTTTATTTTATTTATATATGTATTATCAAATTAAAAATAATTCGAACAATAATATTAAAGAAAAATTAAGAGTGAAATTTTTATTTTATATACTAACCGCTAGTTTCACTTTGACCAGCCTCGCCACCATAAACTTGGGTGTTTTCTGAAACTTTACCGTCGGCGACGAAAGTGGGTTGAAGGTTAATCTTGAGGATTTGAACCAGAATTTTGACTAATTCGAAGCCCTTATCATTGAACTTTTCGATGTTCTCGTTCCAGAAACGTTGGGATTTGTGAACGGGACTCCATTCAAGAAAGCCGGATTTAACCTCTGAGGTATACTCGTCGAAGGTGCTGTAAAAAGATAATCAATAGTATTTACTTTTTTTAAATTTTCGGGAACGCTTTAGAACTTTTGTAAAAAAACACTCGAAACGGAAATAGACAGATTTCATAAGAATGACATGATCAAAAAATTTCTAAAAAAAATTAATAATTTTCGAAACCTCAAATCGTGAACGGCTTCTTGCAGGGTTTTGGCGAGATATTGTATATCGCTCAGCATCTCGGGATCGTCCACCTTGTTAGACGTGATAAGTTGAAGCTGCTTAAAAACTTTGCAGCGAATCATAGACACGCAATTGGAATGAACGACGTCTCGGGACGTCGGGTTTTCGAGCAAGTGCTGTTGGGCGCCGCGCGTTTAATTTATTTTTTAAAAAAACTTGTAATTTATGGTATACTCGTGATAGTTTTGATTGATGATTCGATGACAGGAAACAAACAGTCAAACCTGTTTTAAAAGTTTCACCGAGAACCAGAGTCCAAAAAATTTAAAATCAGGGTTCTGTTCAGGTTTTTGGTGGGCTAAAAAAAACCCTAAAATGCTCACCGAGGATTAAATACAAAATTTATTTAGAAGAGCATAAAATGATTACTCGCAATGTTCCTAAAGTTATTCTGGTAACTTTTTCTTTTCCGGAATCGATCAATATTTCGGACAGCAAAGGAATGATGTTGTAGCTTTAGTAAAAAAAATATATAAGAGAGAAACATAAGCATGATTAATGAATCCTATCAGCGTATATATAAAATTTATTATCCAATTGTAGAGGAAAGGGGCGAAGAAACGTGGTCATCCTGGATAAATCCATTAAACTGTTTAAAGATATGATCAAAATGTCAATCAATGAGATTGGAGGGGAAAAACGAAAAATGATTTGTTAAAAAAATATTTAATTTGTAACCTCATTTCATTTGATAATTAATGAGGATTTAAAGAAACAAAAAAAACATGTTTTTCGGTGATAGATAAGTAGATATTTTTTAATATGTCTTTTAAATTTTATTTCTTTCCATTTTATTTTTAATTACTCTATAATAATTAAATTAATAAAACGAGGATAATTTAATATAAAATAAGTATTAGAGCAAAATGGTATCGTACTGTCTTTACTATTTTTTAGTTATAATTAGGTATTTTGTCGACAAACTTTTCGCTAAATTTCGCTTAGCCTTATAATTTGTATGAAAAAATGTTAAAAAAGCAAATAAGCTAAAATGGCTGTCAAAATGGCCCCTATAGGTTTGAAGCGAAAGATTTAAAAATTTAACTTTTACAGATTAGGCAGATTTTACTATTTAAAGTAATTTATGTAATTAAAAATTTAATAATATAAATTTAAGAAAATATACAATTCTAATATTAATAATTTTCGTATATATATAATTCTAATATTTAATATAATTCTAATATTTAATATAATTCTAATATAAATATAATTCTAATATTTAATATAATCATAATATAAATATAATTCTAATATTTAATATAATTATAATATTTAATATAATTCTAATATTTAATATAATTCTAATATTTAATATAATTCTAATATTTAATATAATTCTAATATTTAATATAATTCTAATATTTAATATAATTCTAATATTTAATATAATTCTAATATTTAATATAATTCTAATATTTAATATAATTATAATATAATTTTTAAAGCAATTTTAATGTTATATAAAGAAATTTATATAATTAATATAATATTAATATTTTATATAATTAATATTAAATTAATGTGATATAAAGAAATTTAGATAATTAATAAAATATAATTAATATATTTAATGAATCTATAGTAAAATAATATATATATTTTTTTTAAATAATTTATATTACATGATATTAAAACAATTTTATTTTATGCATGATATATCTTATCTATTTAATAAAAAAAATATAGATTTTTTTTTGTAATATTTATTCTAAAAAAATAACCAAGAGTTGTAAAACTAGGAGCCATTTACTTGCATCGTTTTCTGAATATAATTTCATGAGGCTAGTAGCTGGGTAGGAAATAAAAATAAATTTGAGGGTAAAGGGGTATATCAAATTATTAGTTCCTCAGATTTATGCATATATTTTAATTTTTTTTGAGATTTCTGATAATTAATGGGACTGTTAATCTTTTTTCTTACTAAGAACTTATATAAAATTTTTACAGTATGTTTCTATGTATATATTTTAATTTTTTTGAGATTTCTGATGATTAAACTTTTTTCTTACTAAGAACTCCTTATATAAAATTTTTACCGTAGATATTTATACAATATAACTATGGATACATACAAAATTTATGTTTATTTCAAGTGCATAATTTGACAACACAGAACATTCAATTATTATTCGTTATGAAATTTTCTAAAAATTCGCGTAGACAATATTAAAAAGTATTCTATAAGGATGTAATTAATTATATTATATCAGGTTAAATAAAAAAAATAATGATTTAATGGTGCACGCAACAATAGTATAAACGATTATGATAGGCATGGTATTACAATATGAAAAATGATTATTTTGAATTGAAATAATATATATAAAAAAAATATCGACAATAAGTTATATAAACTGATAAAAAAAATATATGAAGGAAGGGTTTAGTGTACTATTAGCATTCGAATGATAATTATGATTAGTAGTATTATGAACTTTTACTTAAAACTCTCCACAAATGATGATATAGCAATAGTTGAGGAACATAAGGCGATATTCCTGAATGTGTCTTACGATGCATTGACAGAAATGGAAGTAGCAACCTTTTACAATAATTCTAGGAAAAATATCCTTAAGGGCTAAAAATACGCCAATTTCAAAATCTATTGTTGCACTTGGTGGCGAAAAAATTAAGCCTAATGATAAACAATAATTTTTTAATAAATAAAACATTCGAATATATGTATTTTTAAATTTATCTGGTAAAAGAATATACGCGCAACAAACAATTAAAGTATTGTTTATAATAATATTTATGGTGTAAAATTGTTTAAATAATTTAGGGGCGCATTAAACGTGCCATCTAGATATATTTTATCTGCCCAACAAAGGCGAGATAAAAGAATACGAGTAGAAAAAATAAATAATTTATTATTATCATTACAAACTAAAAAATTATTATTATTCAAGGTAACTTTAGGTTCATCAAGCAACGCTATATCAGCATTTGTGAGAGGTAACGATGGCCGCGTTGATTGAATAACGCGCGCCATATTTGTTTTTGACAAAAATGTTGGTAAGGTTTTAGGGTGTCGCAAAACAAAGAAATCTAATTTCCTTTTGCGCATAACTTTTTTTTATACTTTATGTAAACCTAAATATTTATTTAATTTTATTTGATTTTTTAATTCATTTACTGTTAGTAAAAGTTCATAATACTCTTCATCATTATCGTGACTATGTTGCTTAGTCATTGTAAAATGAGTATCTAATACACCCCTTCCTTTACAGTTATGTAAACGACATTTATAATAATGTTCTCGATTACGAAGATATAAATATTTATTAGAATATATTAAATTATTATTAAATTTAGAAGTAATAAATTTATATGGGCATTTTTTTTAAAAAAGAAAATCTGATTCTCTTGATAATTGGCTTTGTTTAAAAATAATGAATATAAATTATTAATAATATATTAAAGTATTTTGAATTGCTCTATCAGTAATAATTTAATTAGGTGCTGAAATTTTTATTATAATGATTAGTATGTAAAATTATATTTTACTTAAAAGAGATTCATTATCATGAAAAGCAAAGTTTTCATTATCATTCAAGGCAGAGTTTTAATTAATAGGTGCTGAAATTTTTATTATAATGATTAGTATGTAAAATTATATTTTACTTAAAAGAGATTCATTATCATGAAAAGCAAAGTTTTCATAATCATTCAAGGCAGAGTTTTCATTAATAGGTGCTGAAATTTTTATTATAATGATTAGTATGTAAAATTATATTTTACTTAAAAGAGATTCATTATCATGAAAAGCAAAGTTTTCATTATCATTCAAGGCAGAGTTTTCATTAATAGGTGCTGAAATTTTTATTATAATGATTAGTATGTAAAATTAAATTTTACTTAAAAGAGATGCATTATCATGAAGAGCAGTGATTTCATTATCATTCAAGGCAGAGTTTTCATTAGCTTTGTTTTACGATAATGAATATAAATATAGATAAAAGTTAATTTTGACATTCATTTGAAATATAAATTACTCCATCGGTCTGAGTAAATTTATCTATGGAATTTATATCTTCAGCTAAATAAATTAAAAATTTTTATATTTCTATTTATCATAAACTTTGTGTTGATGTTGATTTAAATTTCTGCAAGTAGCAATTAGGATCTTTAATACATTTAATTTATATTATTTAAAAATATTTTATCTACCAGTACACTCTTTGGATATACTAAATACATTATATTTGAGAATACCTTTCCCCTTACATGATGCTTTTGAGCATACATGGTAAGAGGTTGACTCATTATAATATGGTATCGTACAGCCTTTACTGTTTTTTAGTTATAATTAGGTATTTTGTCGGCAAACTTTTCGCTAAATTTCGCTTAACCTTATAATTTAGTAATGCATCAAATATTAAACTGTACCAAGTTTATATGCTCAAAGCTGTAAATGTTTATTTATCTCAATTGGCACAGTATAATAAAGAAGATAGCTTTTCTACATTTAATTAAGCCAAATCACATGTAGAAACTAGCCTCTACTATTATAATGTGCCAATTGAGATCCATAAACTTTAAGCTTTGCAGCATATAAACTTTAAGTCTCATATTGGAACAATATAAATTAAAAGATGCTTTAGCTACATTTAGCGATTAAGTTAAATTACAAGATGCCTAGTTACCACTAACAAATAGTCCAGACTATACGATACAATATTATAATGAGTCAACCTCTTACTATGTATGCTCAAAAGCATCATGTAAGGGGAAAGGTATTCTCAAATATAATGTATTTAGTATATCCAAAGAGTGTACTGGTAGATAAAATATTTTTAAATAATATAAATTAAATGTATTAAAGATCCTAATTGCTACTTGCAGAAATTTAAATCAACATCAACACAAAGTTTATGATAAATAGAAATATAAAAAATTTTAATTTATTTAGCTGAAGATATAAATTCCATAGATAAATTTACTCAGACAGATGGAGTAATTTATATTTCAAATGAATGTCAAAGTTAACTTTTATCTATATTTATATTCATTATCGTAAAACAAAGCTAATGAAAACTCTGCCTTGAATGATAATGAAATCACTGCTCTTCATGATAATGCATCTCTTTTAGGTAAAATTTAATTTTACATACTAATCATTATAATAAAAATTTCAGCACCTATTAATGAAAACTCTGCCTTGAATGATAATGAAAACTTTGCTTTTCATGATAATGAATCTCTTTTAAGTAAAATATAATTTTACATACTAATCATTATAATAAAAATTTCAGCACCTATTAATGAAAACTCTGCCTTGAATGATTATGAAAACTTTGCTTTTCATGATAATGAATCTCTTTTAAGTAAAATATAATTTTACATACTAATCATTATAATAAAAATTTCAGCACCTATTAATTAAAACTCTGCCTTGAATGATAATGAAAACTTTGCTTTTCATTAAGTAAAATATAATTTTACATACTAATCATTATAATAAAAATTTCAGCACCTAATTAAATTATTACTGATAGAGCAATTCAAAATACTTTAATATATTATTAATAATTTATTTTCATTATTTTTAAACAAAGCCAATTATCAAGAGAATCAGATTTTCTTTTTTAAAAAAAATGCCCATATAAATTTATTACTTCTAAATTTAATAATAATTTAATATATTCTAATAAATATTTATATCTTCGTAATCGAGAACATTATTATAAATGTCGTTTACATAACTGTAAAGGAAGGGGTGTATTAGATACTCATTTTACAATGACTAAGCAACATAGTCACGATAATGATGAAGAGTATTATGAACTTTTACTAACAGTAAATGAATTAAAAAATCAAATAAAATTAAATAAATATTTAAGTTTACATAAAGTATATAAAAAAGTTATGCGCAAAAGGAAATTAGATTCCTTTGTTTTGCGACACCCTAAAACCTTACCAACATTTTTGTCAAAAACAAATATGGCGCGCGTTATTCAATCAACGCGGCCATCGTTACCTCTCACAAATGCTGATATAGCGTTGCTTGATGAACCTAAAGTTACCTTGAATAATAATAATTTTTTAGTTTGTAATGATAATAATAAATTATTTATTTTTTCTACTCGTATTCTTTTATGTCGCCTTTGTTGGGCAGATAAAATATATCTAGATGGCACGTTTAATGCGCCCCTAAATTATTTAAACAATTTTACACCATAAATATTATTATAAACAATACTTTAATTGTTTGCGCGTATATTCTTTTACCAGATAAATTTAAAAATACATATATTCGAATGTTTTATTTATTAAAAAATTATTGTTTATCATTAGGCTTAATTATAACGCCACCAAGTGCAACAATAGATTTTGAAATTGGCGTATTTTTAGCCCTTAAGGATATTTTTCCTAGAATTATTGTAAAAGGTTGCTACTTCCTTTTCTGTCAATGCATCGTAAGACACATTCAGGAATATCGCCTGACCCAATTGAGCAGACGAAATCCTAATATTTATAAATTTTTTCGTATTATAATGGCCATCCCATTTTTATAAGAAAGGGATGCGCCATCTATAATGATTGAGTTCAGTCGCCAAATTCAATCATTTCAATTGAGTTCTATTTACGATTTTTTAAATTATTTTGAAAATACTTGGATTAACAGTAATGCCAAGTTCAAATATGAAATGTGGAACACATTTGACGTTAGAGGGGTGAGGACGAATAACCACGTCGAAGGCTTTCATCGAGCTTTAAAGGAATACGTTCCTTATCCCCTCACCCCAACATTTATTTATTTATTGATATCATAAAAAATATAGAGCAGGATATGGATCTTGTATTGATGCAGTTAGATGATGGGCGAAAAGTTTCCGAAAGAAAAAAAATATATCATACTAGATGATAAGATAAGAGAGATAATAATCATATATTGTGGAAATTTGTATAGCCCTATTGAATATTTGGAAAAAAATATCAAGATATTTATATTCCAAAAAATTTACTGGCATTTAGCCCATTTTTTTTATATTACTATACTGGTGACTTTTTTACCCATCATCTAACTCTATTTGTTTTATATTTTTTATATCAGTAAAAAAATATCATTACTGTTGATCCAAGTTATTTTATTGTAGTTAGGTTCGGTTGAAGTGGTATATGCCAATTTCAAAATCTATGTTATGTTCCTCAACTATTGCTATATCATCATTTGTGGAGAGTTTTAAGTAAAAGTTCATAATACTACTAATCATAATTATCATTCGAATGCTAATAGTACACTAAACCCTTCCTTCATATATTTTTTTTATCAGTTTATATAACTTATTGTCGATATTTTTTTTATATATATTATTTCAATTCAAAATAATCATTTTTCATATTGTAATACCATGCCTATCATAATCGTTTATACTATTGTTGCGTGCACCATTAAATCATTATTTTTTTATTTAACCTGATATAATATAATTAATTACATCCTTATAGAATACTTTTTAATATTGTCTAAGCGAATTTTTAGAAAATTTCATAACGAATAATAATTGAATGTTCTGTGTTGTCAAATTATGCACTTGAAATAAACATAAATTTTGTATGTATCCATAGTTATATTGTATAAATATCTACGGTAAAAATTTTATATAAGGAGTTCTTAGTAAGAAAAAAGTTTAATCATCAGAAATCTCAAAAAAATTAAAATATATACATAGAAACATACTGTAAAAATTTTATATAAGTTCTTAGTAAGAAAAAAGATTAACAGTCCCATTAATTATCAGAAATCTCAAAAAAAATTAAAATATATGCATAAATCTGAGGAACTAATAATTTGATATACCCCTTTACCCTCAAATTTATTTTTATTTCCTACCCAGCTACTAGCCTCATGAAATTATATTCAGAAAACGATGCAAGTAAATGGCTCCTAGTTCTACAACTCTTGGTTATTTTTTTAGAATAAATATTACAAAAAAAAATCTATATTTTTTTTATTAAATAGATAAGATATATCATGCATAAAATAAAATTGTTTTAATATCATGTAATATAAATTATTTAAAAAAAATATATATATTATTTTACTATAGATTCATTAAATATATTAATTATATTTTATTAATTATCTAAATTTCTTTATATCACATTAATTTAATTATTAATAATATTAATATTATATTAATTATATAAATTTCTTTATATAACATTAAAATTGCTTTAAAAATTATATTATAATTTATTAAATATTAGAATTATATTAAATATTAGAATTATATTAAATATTAGAATTATATTTATATTATAATTATATTAAATATTAGAATTATATTTATATTATAATTATATTAAATATTAGAATTATATTAAATATTAGAATTATATATATACTAAAATTAATAATATTAGAATTGTGTATTTTCTTAAATTTGTATTATTAAATTTTTAATTACATAAATTACTTTAAATAGTAAAATCTGTCTAATCTGTAAAAGTTAAATTTTTAATATTTTTAAATCTCTCGCTTCAAACCTATAGGGCCATTTTTACAGCCATTTTAGCTTATTTGCTTTTTTAACATTTTTTAATAGTAGTAATAGCGGCCCATAACCGAGTAAAATGTGTCATTTATTAATTTAAGAACAAACATAAACTCTCCCCCCAAAATTAATAGTTTTGTGTGCATAACATAATACATTCCCAAGGTAGCTTGTAATACCATTATTTATTAAGCTAAATTAATATCAGCTATACTAACGGTTTTACGATAACATGGGATAGTACTATGCATTAGTGTTGTCAAAAGCCTGATTAAGATTATCGCCGAAATAATATTATTTTAACTCGAGATTTGTTCTAATAGAGATACAAAGCCAAACCTCCTTGCCATCTATAACCAAAATCTCCAGGCTTGAAAAATATTATTTTAGAATAGACTCAAATCGAGCTTTTTAACAACAGTACTACGCATGCGTCTCCAATAATCATAATACTCGCCATAACTCGTCGAAGAAAGGATCATCAAGGGCAAGCAAAATACCTATCCCTTATTAAATATTTTTTTAACTTTTATCTTTCATAAATGCCAATGTTTAAATATTTCTTTTCGGGAGACAAACGATATTTGCAAACAAAGTTTTATGATGGGTGAAACTTCCCAAGAGGTTCCCATATCTTGGTACATCTATGCTATATGTCAAAAACAATTGCATTTACCACCATTCCTCGCTAGGATAATTTATAAAAATTTTAAAAAAAATGGTTTGATTTAAAAAATTATACGTTTCTGCGTGTTTACAATTTTTAGAGAATTATACTAACTATAAATGATGATGATAAATATCAAAATTTTTAAACATTTTGCTTTTAATTTTAAGCAGTTTTATTTTTTAAAAAATGTAAATTTTAGAAAATGCAAATTTTTTTTTATTCCAAATTTTCCATATTTCAGAGTAAGCTTTTTTTTAAAGCATATTTTAATTTACCTTATTAGGCAAGAAATATATAAATTTATTAAACGCAAAAAAAAAGGTATACACATATATGTTAGCGGCAATGTGTTATTTTTTCAACTTTAAAATCATATTTTGAGCGGGTTTTTTTTTAAATTTAAAAATCTGATTTTACCGAAAAAGACCCTAAGAAATTCGGATAATTTTATCGTGAACTTTTGAGCTTAATAATATAAGGCAAAATTATCTGCAATTCATAAAATTGTTCATTTCCGGTAAAATCAGATTTTTAAATTTAAAAAAAAAACATGAAAAAATTGAATAAACCGATGTATTTTTTTAAATTGTCATGCAAAATCTCGATTCGAAGTGAGGGGAAGGGGGGTTATACCAGCTGTTTACAATTTTAATCATTTTTTTTTAAAAAGGTCAATATAAAATATATAAATGGTTACGCGCTCATCTTCTCCGCCAGTTGCGCGTCGAAGCTCAGGCACCAGAGACAGAACACGAATTGATATTGAATTTGGAAATTAACTTTCTTGTTCAGGAGATTCATTATTCTTATATAAATAAAAATAAATAAATAATAATAATAAAAATTACGGTAAAATATATAACCCCGAGGAAAATAAATAAAGTTTGAAAATTATTTTTTAAAAATATTCGGATATATTTTATCGGGCAGATTATTTTGACTTTGGTCGGGTCGAAGTATTATTTTTCTATGCCCACTTTTTACACAAAAATTTGTATAGTAATAGTTTTTTTTTTAAATATAGGAATTTTCAAAAAAAAAACAGTTTTTTTTTTCGCGAATAAAAACACGAACGTTATTTTAGTGTTTGTTTAACGGCTCATTTAGAGCCGATTTCTAAAAACGGCTAACTCAATACTTCATCCAGAAAAATATTACCTAAGCCTGAAGATTTTGCTCATAGAAGGAACAAAGGTCCAGGCATATATTCTCTAAATTTCGAGACTTAGGCAATAATGAAATATTGAGTTAGCCGTTTTTAAAATTCGGCTCAAAACGAACCGTTTATAACAACATTACGTTATTTATTTTCACAATAATTTAAATAAAAATTAAAATACAAAATAGACAAATATAAACTGGTTGTATCTTAAATTTACGAACCAAAATGGTAACGGATCGATGCATAGCTCATGATGTTTTAGAAGTCATTCTTATATAGTGCGTACAAATTGAACGTTTCAACGCAGCGTTTCAAAACGCATATCAATAATTTAAATTACAAAACGCAAACTTACTCAAATTAAACGAATGCAATTAAGATGAATTATTTGCGTTTTGAAACGCAGCTTTGAAATGTTCAATTTGTGCGCATTATTACACAGTTTATATTATGATCCTTGCTGCTATACTCGAAGAAAATAAAAATGTGTTTGGAGCAAAATTTACATTCATAAATTCCAATATTTCCCCCTTTTTCTCCAGCGAAATTTTTTTTTTCATATACTGAGATTTGCATCGTGTGTCATATTTTAATTCAAAGAGTTAAAAAAAAATTAAGAAATTAAATATAAAACTTAGTGGTATATTTTGTTATATTAAAAAAAATTAATAAAATTTTAGATACATAAAAAAATTGCTAATTTTTAAAAAATAAATTTCCACATTGTTAATTGAACATTTTCACACAACCCTCACCTAATATTTTTTGCACGTTTTAAAAAAATAAAATTTTATAGCCTAAAAATGATAGCTAGATTTCTAAAAAAAAATTTCCATTGTTCTCTTGTGTCGGTAATATTGTTTTTTGAATACTTTTTTTTTCTATTGTTTTTTTGCTGTTGAAAAAAAAACAGTTTTTGTTTTTTTGCCATCCTTAGTTTTATATATAATTTAAAAAGAAAAGCAAAATCGGCATTAGTAACATTTGTATTAGAGCCCTATACTGCATCGCATTCTCGGGAAAAACCCTAATCGCTTCCCATTTTAACCAGAAAAATAAAATTATTTTGTCTCGCTGTTATATAAATATACATATAAAAAAAATTACTCCTGAACCCCGCCAAGTTCGAAGAAGGGCTTCCTATAATCCTTAACTGTCATAAGCATCTGTAAACACCTGGCCACTGTTTGCATGTATTCGTTGTTAGGATTCTTCATTTGATCCTTCAGCCATATCAGGTAGTAATCGAGGTCAGGGCCCTGCATGATTTGCTGATTAGACCAACAGGCTATTTTCGCGATGATACGACTTGCCTTCATTTTAAAAAAAAAGAAGAAATATAGCAAAAAGGCACTAAATCTGTCTAGTCTATTTATAAATGATTTACTTTCCTAGTGCGATTAAAAATGTTTAAAAAAATGGAAACAGGGATTTCGCAATGGAAGAGAAAATTTAATCTCAAGACAATTTTTATCCAAAATCCTACACAACATGTGGGCAAATATAGTTAAATGTCGTCATCTGCGTTTTATCCGACAATGCTTTATATTTTGAATTTTTGTCGTAATGTTCATATCATTCTATGCGCCCAAAAATTTTTAGACCATTTTTTTAATTTATTACATTATAAATATGAAAAAAAATCATAAACGGATGTTTTCTTAGTCATTATGATGCCTAGAGAGATTAGAACTGGGGTGGGGATAGTTCCCAATCAATCGTAGCCAAAATTGGTATAAATATGATGTTTTTGATGGTGTAATTCTCTTCAGGTAATCGACTAAATGGGCCGTCAAAGATCCCGCACTCACATCCCAATCTTTATGAATGCGAGTGGCTGAGCGATAATCATATAGGGGTCCCTGTTTTCCCATCAAACGATACTGGAGATAAGGATAATAAGATTCTGTAGGGGGGGGGAGGAATTAATGTTCTAATATAACTTGGGGATTCCTTGGCAGCAGTGATAAGATTAAAAAGAAGTTCTGATTTGTACAATTTGAGTGAATCTTATAAAAAAGTTTTGATAGTTTTACCAATGGGGACTCCTAAAATGGGTAAGGTCCTTCTTTAAGAACCTAAAAAACATGGTTGAAAATAATGAGACTTGGTGATACCCATTACACATTTAGAGAAATTGAACCTCTTTTTTGGGAAAACATAGTAATGCCAATATCCAATTGGGGGAAAATTAATATAATGCCAACTTTGTTTTTGGAGATCTTTTTTAATGAAAATTTTTATCAATTAATGATTAAAAAATAACCATTTTCAAGTAAATCATATTTGTAAACGATTTCTAATAGAAAATAATTATCAATCTCCTTAGTGGACAATAGTTAAACACTGTTATTGTACTTTTTATGTCATCATAAAAGGCACATAAAAACAGAGATTTCAGAAATAAAAGGGTGTTTAATTCTTTTCTCTGTATAAAAAATTAAAGACATAATGTCTCCAACATTATAGTATAAATTTTTGTGGACCATCCCATGATAACTTTTATGAAAGAAAACACCAAAAATTTGATCAGCCAAAAATCAGCCCAGCTCTTAAAATATTTTGCACTATTTGAAAAGGAAATTATTATTGATCTCCTGGTTAATGATTGGAAGTTAAATAGGGTGTTAAATTGTATTCTTTATGCTATCTTAAAGGGAACATAAGGATTTCACAATAATTTTTCTTTTCTCTATATAATCAACACTTTAACAAATATCTTTGTGGTCAATCCAATTTTTATTGAAGAAAACAACATAAATTTGCTTCATTATCATTTTTAAACATTTTCAAAACATCAGCCCAGCCCATAAAAACAGTTTGCACAACTTTTCACCCTAAAGGAGCCTGGGTTTTAAAGTTAAACTAACTTCTACTCAGTTGTAAATGAAAATCAAATTTAATTATATGGTATTTAATGTTAAACAAAATAAATGTAGAATTATATGAAGTTATTATCTGTAAACCCTGATAAACACAACCATATTTATTAGCATTTTTAATTTGTATGTTGTAGGGCTGTGCCAATAATGAAATGACCTGTTTATAAATGTGTATACCTTAGAATTGGCACTGGATTGGCAGCTAATATGCATAAACATCTTTGATAGATATAACAATAAAACTTGTTAAAATAAATTATAAGGAGGTGTCAGAACTGGTTGTTCAAAACTTATTCTAGATTATATCAGTAAAAAATTGTTAAAAACTGATCCACAACATAGGCTCATTTCATTTTCTGATGATGATGACTTTTCTTTAAAATATTTTTGTTTGATAAATTATTTTTAGGTGTTAGTAACACTCTTAGCTGGTTAGCCATTAAAAATTTTCTGATTAGTGTTTGATTAGTATGTTTTACTGTTTGCAATTCTGAAATATGTACATTTATAACCAATATCATTTCAATATTGGCAAAAATGTTGACATAAACCTAGTATGTTGTATTAAATTGGGGAAAATATAAGTGTACCAGAGTAATTATCCACAAAAAATAATAAAATTATAAAGTTCATTAAAATTTTAATAATTATGATTCATTTAAAATCTTAGTATTATGTTGTTTAAATATTTTTCTAAACCAAGGAATTCCAAAAATAAGAATATAAATATTTAAATAAAACAATTTTTGTAAATTTGAAATGTTTTTCTTATATTTTGCATAATTTAAATGTTATGTATAATAAATATACTAAATTATATACTTGATTAGCTATAAAGCCATCTTTTCTATTCAGCATGTGTAGGAATGGCCCCCAAACAGTAGTCTGATTATTTTGTGCATAATCATTAAATATTTCAACTCTTTTCTTATCTTCCTGCAATAAATCATCCAGAAGAGTTAGTATATATTGAATGGTTTGTTCTTTTGATATATGTTGCATCATACTAATTAGAATCTTGGCACACTAGTCATAATAAAATATATTGTATATAACATAGACTACTCAAATATAATTAACGTAGTTGGATGGTGCAAATTAAATTTTTAATTTACCAAAGCTGGATTTTTTTCTAAAATTTGATTTTTCTGAGAAGAATTAGCTTGTTCTAACATAATAATAAAATCCATTTCTTCGGGACTAATCATTTGACTCCTGTAACAATATTATGTGATTGTTATTAATATATAATTTATATTAAACATACTGCATATAAGATTGCCAATTGATTTTTTGATTCCTTATATCAGATGCTCGTTGCTGCAATAAGCTGGTCCCAGTTAATACATCTTATGTTTAGATAAAAATAATACATTTAATAATTTTATACCTTTTGCAAACTCCAAATCGTCCGGCAACACCTTTACTACCTTAGAAGCTGAACCTATTTGTTGCTGCACTTGTTGCATTTGAGAAGGTTAACAGGTGATAAACATTGTTCCACTAGAAATGAAAGTCAAAACTAATGGTGAAAAATTATTACTTATATATTTTATTTTTGTTTGAATTAATCAGTTCATTTTTATGCTATTTGGTTTATAAGATTTTCAATAAACCAATAATAAATATTAATATAATGTCTCGATGTGTTAAATATTAAAGTGGAGAATAAAAAAAATGAAGAATTTCAAACCACAGTGCAATCATAAAATAATTAGGTACATTATGAATTTATAGAAATTGAAGAAATTTTTCTTTAAAAACATTTAAGTTAGTCCCAATTATAGGTCTGCATTGGGTAAGGTTTCGGTCCGCTGGCCCACGCCCGCCCATTTATGAGGGCTGGTGGTCGAGCAAAAAAAATTTAAAGAACGGCCAGGTGGGTTATAATATTTTTGGAACTATGGGTTGGAGGGGGGGGTTAGCGAGTTAAGAAATTTGAACAGTGGGCTGGCAGGTTAAATAAATTTAAAATTTTTGTTCAAAAACAAACTTAAAAAAATCATTAGTATTTAAATGAACAATAACAATATTTCTTTTTTTTATTGTACCAATCGTTTTTTTTAATTGAACTACATTTACCTAAATATATTATATAATAAATCAAACAATAAAACTTTTTTCTTAAAATAAACAACTTTTTGCGTATTAAAAATTAAAATTTCCTTTTTTAGGTCTGCAATCTGCATTGTATATTTTAGTAATAATTGTTTATCTTTATATTTGCCCTTTTTATTTTTATTTTATTATATAATATATATAAATTTTATTTTTTATAACATAATTTTAATAAAAAAATATTTTTTTAATTTAATTTAAGAATATATATCTAAAAAAATAAAAAGTAATTTTTACAATTTAAATAATGAATCCGGCAATAAACTTTAATCTTCAATGTGGAAACAATTTAATTTTCGAATGACAAAAAGCTAGATTGGATTCACTGCAATGATTGCGAATCTATCTATAAATATAATAACAAAAGTGGCACATCCTTCTTCCTTCGGCATTAATGTTCATCTATAGATTATTTAAATTTTATAGATATGAAAAAAATAACTGGATATTTTCAAGAAGACAAATCTCAATTAAACAAAACCATAAAATCGGATCTAATTCCCAATTTGCAGAGGTGTCATGCTGAAATTTCTTTTTATTAGATGCTAAAAAATAGAAATAATTGATTAATTTTTATAACCGGCTTGGGTTACAATTTTTTTTATAAATAATGGGGGGGGGGGGGGGTTAAAGTTTTTTAGACTTTGGTCCAAAACTCGCTCAATGCAGACTTCTAGTCCCAATTCCGTCTTTATAGACTGAGCGTTTTAATAAAAAATATATTATCAATTTAATAATAATAGACTATTAAATCCTTGAGAAATGGAAAATTACAAGCAAATTAATATAACTTTTTTTTGGTAGATAGATGAAAAACTTGGTAAAGGAATAATATTATATTTCAAAAAGTTGCATTTATCAAGATAAAAATGAAATAGCCCTTAGTATATGAGTGGGCCAATATTTATTACCATATTACAGTGACGAACGTCAAGTTTACTATTAGGGAAGCAATCGAAAATTTTTTTTATTATTATTTATTAGTCAAACCATAAAAAATTTAAATATATAAATAAGTAGGTCTTTGTTTTTGAGTAAAATGATCAAGTCCTGAATTATATAATAATTGTTAGATTTTAAATTTTTTTCAATTGAAATCAAAAATAGATTTAAAATTTAAAAAAAAAATTTTTTAATTAAATTTATAATTTATTCGTTAAAAGTTAGCGGAATATCTATAAAATTATTTTACAAAATTATAAATAAATTTATTTGCTTAAAATAATTATGTGCAACAATGGTATTGTTTATAATTTAATGGGCGTCATGGCTAAACAAGGATTTGATAAAAATATCCTTCACAATCTTGAATTGATATCTATAGATATAAATAGGAGAAAAATAATATTTATATCCTTTTTTATATATTAGTTTTAAAATATATATATATATATTTCATATTAGTTTTAATATTTTAATAATATATATTTATTTAAATTATATGCTAATACATGTGAAATAAAATTCGCACTTAAATATATTTATTTTTTAGATTAAAAAGCGCTAAATAAAAGTATATAAAAATGTATCATAAAAAGTATCTATAAACTTAATACAGGTATCTCTGAAATAGTTTATAAATACAGATACTTTTTATACAACTTTGATAATCTTAATAAATTTTCAATAATTAAGCATATTTTATTTATTCCCCAATGCTTATTTTTTAAACGTAAAATTACACAATACATTCGCATGATTTTCTCTTTATTTATTAAAAAAATATTAGCAATAATAAATTTGCTTCCCACATGTATATTTTTTAGCTTAGATATAATAGTAATTTATTTAACGTATGTAAATTAATAGTAATTAGTTAACGTAGTAAGAATAAGAGTACTTCATCTTTATTATTAATTCTTATTAATGTGGTTATTATATTTCGGTAAAAAACTATTTAATGGGTAAATCTTATATTTATTTGTTTATTTCTACGCAAGGTCTTCCGATCTTTATTTTATTCAACAAATATCAATTAACACTCTACATAACAAAAAAAACAATAATTCTAATCGCACAAAAAAAATAATAATTAAATCGTTTCTTTTCCTCTTTTTATATTTACTATAAAATAAATATAAATTTATTAATAATTAATCTTTTTTTAGGCGTATTCATCCTACAACTATATATCTATACAATTGACAATACTCACATATATATTTCACAATCGTAACTTCGTAAAATAATATTAATATTTTTAAACTAAGGATTAGTTTTTTTAAGCATAATTTAAAGATTATATGAAATTTATTTAGAAATTTTGTAGGAAAAATTTCAATGGAAGCAATGATTCCCTTGATTTTATATAAGCGGCGTCACTGCCATATTATTACTTACTAAATTATCAATCGCTTCCAGTCACTAGGAAACAGAGTTATAAACTAAGTACACAAAGATTCCATTTTATCGACTTTTGCTCAAATTACAAAAAATTGATATTAATTTTTTTTTAAAGTACCCTATAGGCTTACCTGTCTTTCTTTTAAAAAAAAACTTGTATATATTCATGAAATTTTGGTATAAATATTTTATATTATATAATGAATAATAATTTATTAAATTCTACCTTTATCTATATTATAATTTTCCGATGTCCTCACTACGTCATCGTGACGTCATATCAGCGCTACGTCATGTCATTGCTACGTCATGTCATCGGTATGTATTTATTTTTATTTTTTTTATTTGTTGATTTTATTTATTTATTTTATAAAAACAGATGAATGGAATTTCGAGAATTGATGGTGTACTATACCAAACATGGATTAAGAGATTTGAAAAATCGTCTTTGAATCGATATAAACAATATTCCCTCAATTTTCTAAATATGAATGAAATAAATGATGTGAATAAAAAGATTCAGGCTAATATTTCACTTAATCCCCTCTTTATTTTTTAGATTACCTTATCAATTTTCATCTCATCAATTACACATTTATGAAATCTCTACTAAACTTGTATATTTATTTTGAACATACTCACAATTTTTGTCAGTACTTACATTACAATTTTTTATACTCATATTTTTCTTTCATAACCAATAATTAAGAAGATAATCAAGTATATTCAAATATTTAAATATTCCTATCCTAACTTATTTATAATCTCCAATGCTTATAAATAACTCTTTCTTTATTTTTTTTCCCTCCTTAATGAATTTATTTATCATTAAATTTTATTATCTCATTCTTTTCTTTCTATCTCTATTATCTATTAACCACTATTTCTCAAAACCTTATCAATTCCTTTAATTTAATTTTTATTATTTTTATAATATAATAATTTATACCTTCTTTTTCCCCCCTTTTTTAATTTTATTTTTTAATTACCTTACAATTAATTAACCTTAATCTTAATAACATTACATTCATCATGTTTTTTTTTAACTTTTAGAATATCATAATAGGCTTGATAAGTCCCCCAAAATTTTTTTTGATGTTAGCCCTCCAACTACTATAATTATGCATCTAATATTGACCCATCTACCGGTTTTACATTATTTTATTGTTTGTTTATATTCAACAATATTTTATTTATATTTTTGCCTGATTTCTTTTTGTCTAGGCTAACCTTAATCCCTCACATTGCTACAAAACATGATGAATCTATTTAAAGATAAGCAAAGAAAATAATGACGATTAAACAAACGCCTTACCCGTTCTAGAGTTACTTGTAGACAAAATATTAAAGAACTACGCTTGAAATGAACTCATCTGGAGGTTTATTTTGTTTTTTTTATCTTATGTTTTATATCTTAGTTTATTTTATTTTCATCCATTTCTCCAAATGATATTTTTATCACCACTACCACAATCCCTATGCCACCTCCGCCTATTTTTTTAACAAATATAAACATTTTATTCTGTACTATCATTCACTTCATTAGGAGTTAATATAAATATTACTTTATCCCATTCTATGAGAAATTTTCATGAATATTTAGAGGAACTAGTAGAAAGCCCGTCAAAAATGACGGGGAATGAGATTTTTATTCATTTTTTATGATAGATGTAATGAAACTCACAATGTTTGGAAGCATCCAAGATCTTATAATTTTAAAAAAGTTTATCAAGCCCAGCTCAACCCTTAATAATTTGTGAAATATATTCCCAAGTCAGGTGCAAGCTAATATTCATTTTGAGGTTCCAAGCCGAGTCCTACCCATTATAATTTTGAAAATTTTTTCCCACCTCGGAGATAGTTAAATTTTTAATATCATCACATGTACGGGAAATATCTGATTTACCAATTAGTCTAATATGGAAAAAAAAACATGTAAATTCCGTATTAAGGAAAGCTGGGAAGGCCTGGGCAACCACTTATTAGAGAATCATGACAAATAAAATAAAAATAACCGACTCTTATACTTTTTTGTAATATGATCAATTAAAATTATATCTA